GGTGTCTCTCTGGGTACAGATGAGATTTGGTAAGGATTGTTGGCATGTGGATAATGAACAGGCAAGAGCTGTGCATCCAGATCCCTGATGCTCATTGGACCAGAGCTAATATAATCTGCATCGTCGCAGTTTACTCCTGTAAAGTAAGACAATTCATTATGCCTAACATATACCATCCTATCCTGATATAAACTTTAGGAAGCTAGCTTGCTGCAATAAAACTAATAAAAAAGAAGAACTCCGGGATAGTGATAAAAACTGCAGAACAGACCTGTTTAACTGGATAAGAAATCCCGCTTCTGTGATTTTGGATAAAACTGCCCACTTTGTATAAAACTCACAGTTTTAAAAAGCTCTGACATTATCTCTTTTCAGAATCTTCCTCTATCCCTGGACTCCTGGAGGAGGTATCTTTGAAGCAGCGACATCACATCCTGTTATTGTTTGTTATTGCCTCTTAGGACTACAAATCCCATCATGCCCTGGGATTTGGAGTCTGAATGGGCAGCAATGTGGGCATGAAATGGATGAGACTCCTAGCTGGCCTATGCTGCACAGTGGGTGGATCAGACTGGGAGTTTGGGATCCGCCCACTGCAGCAATGTAATGACAACTCAGACTCCCGGGCTGCAGCATGCGCTTTATGATTTAGCCGGCAGCTTGCCAGCTGGAAAAACGGGTGCTCCTGGCTTACACTAGTGATTCCTGTTTCAATATCGCTTTGCCACATGGACTAATTCATGCTCACATTGTGCCGCCCATTCATATCACCACTCCCATTACTAATAAATACAGTCTGAATGGGCAGCACTGTGGGTGTGAATGAGATGGATCAGACTCCTGACCTGTCAATCTATGCTGCACAGTGGGCAGATCAGATCCACTGATCAAAAGCCCTGCAGCTTTCTAACTGAAACCCCTTACAGAGGAATGAGCAGAAAGCTGTACGACTTGCCTGCACGAGCATGACTTTGCACCCGCAATTCACCAATTGCGGATGCAATTCTTTGCAGGCTCCTTGAGAAAAAAAAAAATAATAACTGCACATTTTTTTTCTGCAAAAATACATGCAGGAGTTAAATTTCGAATCCAGACCTACTAGCGGGTCACAAAACTTACTCTCCACCAGTTGCCCCACCCAACCTTGTCCAGGTCCGCCCCCAACCCCACCCCTGACCCGCCCCCAACCCTGTCCCGCCCCCAACCACGCCCCCTTAAAGCTTATGAAATTACATTTTCTTTAGAATAAAGAGTCCAAAATATAAAACTGTATACATTATGTATATTCCAGCTCCCCTGTACTCCATTATAGTGATATGACATGTATACAGTAATGTATATCCCAGCTCCCCTGTACTCCATTATAGTGATATGACATGTATACAGTATGTATATCCCAGCTCCCCTGTACTCCATTACAGTGATATGACATGTATACAGTAATGTGTATCCCAGCTCCCCTGTAGTCCATTGTAGTGATATGACATGTATACAGTAATGTATATCCCCCTCCCCTGTACTCCATTATAGTGATATGACATGGATACAGTAATGTATATCCCAGCTCCCCTGTACTCCATTATAGTGATATGACGTGTATACAGTATGTATATCCCAGCTCCCCTGTACTCCATTACAGTGATATGACATGTATACAGTATGTATATCCCAGCTCCCCTGTACTCCATTATAGTGATATGCCATGTATACAGTAATGTATATCCCAGCTCCCCTGTACTCCATTATAGTGATATGACATGTATAAAGTATGTATATCCCAGCTCCCCTGTACTCCATTATAGTGATATGACATGTATAAAGTATGTATATCCCAGCTCCCCTGTACTCCATTATAGTGATATGACATGTATACAGTATGTATATCCCAGCTCCCCTGTACTCCATTATAGTGATATGACATGTATACAGTATGTATATCCCAGCTTCCCTGTACTCCATTATAGTGATATGACATGTATACAGTAATGTGTATCCCAGCTCCCCTGTAGTCCATTGTAGTGATATGACATGTATACAGTAATGTATATCCCCCTCCCCTGTACTCCATTATAGTGATATGACATGGATACAGTAATGTATATCCCAGCTCCCCTGTACTCCATTATAGTGATATGACATGTATACAGTAATGTATATCCCAGCTCCCCTGTACTCCATTATAGTGATATGACGTGTATACAGTATGTATATCCCAGCTCCCCTGTACTCCATTATAGTGATATGACGTGTATACAGTATGTATATCCCAGCTCCCCTGTACTCCATTACAGTGATATGACATGTATACAGTATGTATATCCCAGCTCCCCTGTACTCCATTATAGTGATATGCCATGTATACAGTAATGTATATCCCAGCTCCCCTGTACTCCATTATAGTGATATGACATGTATAAAGTATGTATATCCCAGCTCCCCTGTACTCCATTATAGTGATATGACATGTATAAAGTATGTATATCCCAGCTCCCCTGTACTCCATTATAGTGATATGACATGTATACAGTATGTATATCCCAGCTCCCCTGTACTCCATTATAGTGATATGACATGTATACAGTAATGTATATCCCAGCTCCCCTGTACTCCATTATGACATATGACATGTATACAGTAATGTATATCCCAGCTCCCCTGTACTCCATTATAGACATATGACATGTACACAGTAATGTATATCTCAGCTCCCCTGTACTCCATTATAGTGATATGACATGTATACAGTATGTATATCCCAGCCCCCCTGTACTCCATTATAGTGATATGACATGTACACAGTAATGTATATCCCAGCTCCCCTGTACTCCATTATAGTGATATGACATGTATACAGTATGTATATCCCAGCTCCCTTGTACACCATTATAGTGATATGACATGTACACAGTAATGTATATCCCAGCTCCCCTGTACTCCATTATAGTGATATGACATGTATACAGTAATGTATATCCCAGCTCCCCTGTACTCCATTATAGTGATAGGACATGTTGTATACAGTACTTACTGTCCCCCCGAGTCCCCTGCGGCGGTGGAGAGGGTGCCTCCTCCCAGCGGAGGAGAGCGGACCTCTCCTGCACCTGTCCCCTCGGCAGCGGTGCCGCAGAAGCCGGAAACCGGAAGTTGTGAACCGGAACTCGGCTTCACAATGAGGCTTGGAGCACAGGTGCAGTCGCTCCATGATTCATCTGTGCTCACCGCTTGCAGCCGCTCGCCACAGAGGAATTTCTCCTCGCATTTGGCGAGCAGCTATTTCAAGATCAATTGAACTTTAAAGGCTAAGTTCACCTTTCAGGAAAATAATAATTAATGATTATTATTTTCCTAAAAGGTGAACTTAGCCTTTAAAGTTCAATTGATCTTTCATTTTAAATCAGCAAAATATATTTTAGGTACAGCAAAACTAAAGGTGTTCAAAGTCTAACAGTTCAGCACAGCAACACAGTCCGAGTTAAAAAAAGAAAAAAAGCCTGTTCCTTGGCAGCATGCTGCAGAGAATAACCCTTGTCCTCTGGGTGGAAGCAGTGGTCCCTCTGCAGTGGCCCAACATGCCTATAGGCCTGACTCAGCAGGGGGCATGGGAGACCTTTGCAGAGAGACGAGTGCTTCCACGTAGAGAGCAACTGTCCCTTCTCTACATGTAGGCAAGAGGCAGGCTTTTAAAATCTGCTATGGAGCTGACCGTACAAGTTACAGTCTGACTGTAAAAATATGCTTTTAATCTACCAACATCTATTCTGTGCATTAGCCTGTTTTATGATATGCAAATTAAGTGGATTACTTAGGTAGGTCCTCTTATTGGATTATTTTTTTGGTAAATCTAAAGCAGACAACACAATCTGTTTGTAGCATGTATGGCTTTTCCTAAATTTTAGAGACAAATGTAAAGCAAAAATTTCAGTAGTTTCCTGTTGTAGGGTCATTACCTTTTATGTTTTTTTTTTTTTTTTAACATTCTTACAGATTTGCGCACATAACTCATTTTGACTGTAAAAACTCTTCAATTTCAGTTTAGTGTCTGATTTTTTTTTTTCAAAGAAACCCTTGACAAATTTGTATCAATATTTTTTTCTCTGTGGGGTATAGACCCACACTTAAGTTTAGTTCACATTGGTGTCAAATGTGTAGTCTGGCGAGTGTTTTCAATGCCTGCTAAATGACCCCCAGCTGGTGTGTATTAAAGGATGTACTGAGCCATGTTTCCATGCTAGACTACATAGCAGTGTGCCAACCTGAAGATTGCAAGAACATAAATTCCCATTTCAAGGACTTTACTAAGGGGACCCCTCTTCAGTGGAGGCATAAATAAAAAAGAGAATGTAACCCTTCCCTGATTTATCCAACAAATCACCTAAAAACACTGAAAGCACAACAGTTATTACTATGAGTTTAGTGCTTTAATTCAAGTGGATGTGTATAACCTGGTACATTAGTGTATTGTCCAGGAGACAATGGACGATTCTGAGGATTTCCAGCAGTCTGACCAACGTTAGATGACCCTTCCATAAACACAGAGTGTCCCACCAGGACTTGCTCTGCAGTTGTGGTCAGTCTCGGCCTCTGACCTTCGCTGATCTCCCCTAAGCTGTCTTCTCCTGAGCTCTGTGGAAAAAAAAAAAAGAAGACAATGGAGAGCAATATAAACAATCTCTTCCAGAGAAAAATAAAAACTATTCTGTGAAAGCCTGGCAGAATAATGCCATGTGGGGTTTCAGCCATGAATAACAACCTGCTGTTAAAATAGCTTCTAAAAATAGAGGTGAAAATTGCTAATACATGACGACCACACACATATTTCCAAGAAGCTATCAGTTTACATAACGATGTTTTATTGCTGGATGCCAGAATGGAGGAGCGGAACATACCTCAAAATGGTAGAAAGCCTCATGTGGCGCAACAAGATCCTGATTAAATTTGGCTAAAAGCGAAAGGACGGGGTCACGATGTGCTCCTCTGTGAGGTCCACGTATTACCTGTCCTTCACTGGGGGGGTCAAATTCCTGCAGGAGGAGAAAAAGGCTGCCTGTTATTGGCATTCCGACTTTATCACTTAAGTAATGCTGCAGTCAGACAAAACTTCAGTTGGATTGTTAATGTAAAAACAGTCACATCTGTTCATACAAAGGATTCCTGGTTAATGGATCTTTACAGCTACACAACGATTTACATGCCAAAATCCAATAAACAGAATCAAAACTCGTGATACATATGAAATACACACTTACTATTTCAAATTAAAACTAAATTCTGGGTAAACTACTAAAAAGGCAGTTATACTACACTAATGTTTACTGTTTTAGGGCCAGTATCAGTAGGTTTGGGCTGTGTCGATAGATAAATGCAGCTTGCTTTAGAGAGGAGTTTGGGTGCCTTTTGAGATGATTCAAAATTCACTGACAGGTGAACATGCAATTGATCTCCTTCTGACTTGCTTTTGCATGCCCATAGATTTGTATGAGTAAAAAAAATGGATCTGATAAACACACCTACAAAGGCCCTTACCTGCCAAAGAAAATTTATTTTGTACAATACATACCTCTGATAGACAGATGATTACCTCTAACCATTCTGTTTCCTGGATCAGATCTCTGCTCATTGGCCAGAGATGAGGATAATAATATGCCTAATGGTCAGGATGCAAATAGAAAGACAACAGGGAAAGTCACAAAGCTAACCCAGCAAACCAACTTGCTGGACCAGGTAAAAAAAAATAAAATAAGAATTTGCACTGTGCATTTAGTGCTTCCCGACCGCCCTATAGCAGAAGTGCTGCTACAGTGGCACGCATAATCACGTATATATACTTGATTTTGTGTTTCCAGGTAGGTGGCACATGTGAGCTCCCTACCCGTGCTGCTATTGGCTCCTCGACGTGGCAATCTCTGGGATCCAGCCGCCGGTTCTCGGCCAGAACCCGGGACTCGGTGATCGTCGGCGGAGCTGACAGGGGAGAGGCCTGTATGTAAACAATACAGATCTCTCCCCTGTCAGCACGAACAGGCTGCTTTTTATTGTTCTGCAGAGGGATTGACAAGGGATTTTTTTGTTAAATTTATCATCTAGGAGTGGAGATTTTGATAAGGTTCTATTAAAGAAAGAAAAATACTGGATTTATACACAGGGAACATTAATACCCGAGGGATTAAACACTGAACTAAATTTCAAAGTTTTTCTTAATTCATTAAAGTAATTAAATTTGGTTCCCTCTGAGAAGACTAAAAAAAAGAACATTTAATCATAGTACATGCTTCTCCTCTCCTGATTGCCTTTCTATCATGACCCTTGGTTGGGTCTTTGCAGTCTATGTTATAATGTTTTACAATGTAATGATGGCGTCTCAACACAAGAGGATGTAATGATAGGTCCATTATGTAGGAGACGGTATAAAAGGAAGCATAGGACTGCCCCCCCCAGTTCTGACGAAGTCAGCAATGATTGGCAGATGAAACGTGTCAACATAGTGACGTCATCACATCCGGAAATGACGTATGCCAGTGTCTCCATGCTGGATTTCACATGGGTAGTTGGAAGCCAAGTTACACGGCATATTGCTTTGAAGTTATTCCTGCTAAGCATCAAGAAGGCACAGCAATAGTAGCGATTAGTGGCAATGGGAAACAGCTCTACATTGGAAAGTGAAGCATTCATATCCTCAAGTGGACTTATTGCAGTGCATTGACCGGAGGTGGCACTAAGTGACTCCTCCAACTGAACCAATGTATTTGGCTATGGTCTCATGCTTTAATCACCACTATCCTTGTTCAATATATACTGCATTGGATTTCCTTATTTCTACATATATATGCTTATCCTTTCCTCAACGAGTTGTTTAAATTCCTCAATTTGAGTGGACCCTCTGAATTTACATCACTGCTTAGACAGCTCTGAGCTTCCATCTATATACTGCCTACTTTGCATGATCTGATTGATCTGTGTATACTGCTGCTTTTTTCCTCATGATGTCTCATTATCCCTGATTGGAGGTTATTAGCAGTGGGATCTATTATTGAGACTTCAATATTCATCATCTCCACACTATTTCACATTGTAGTGATTAGATGCAGGTGTTTTGGAGATGATTACATCGATATGTCATTGATTGCATGGGAACTTGATCGATTTATTTTGATGTGTATTTATTCAGGCTAAACCATTTACTATCAAGTTCTATGCACCTGGACTTTAGTAGATTATTCTTCACTGTCTCACCAGCAATTGCTTATGTCATTTAGTCCCCACACTCAAGCAATGCATGTGATTACACCTTGATTTCCTAGCCAATTTGATGCATAATATTGATCACCAGCTATGCTTTCAGTACGGACGTATTCTTTTAATACACTATTTTTTATTCTTTTTGACTGGTGTCTGTATATTCACCCTGCTAGAGCAATGTTCTTCAAACGATCTTTTGGATTATACACAAAGTGTTTTTGCAACCATTTTAATGCTTATGTTACTCTGCCTCGGTGATTAATATTACCGACTACGCACAGTCTGTTCTTTACAGCTGTTTCTAACTTAGTGAATGATTTCCCCCCTATTACTTTTCTGGCGGACAACCCAAAATTTGGGATTTTCTTTTACTTTCACTTTCAGTGATAATGGTAAACGGTAAAATAGGGAGGGTGAATCTACCTAACTGGGTACAGACAGCAGTAACAACTGACAAGCATTGTAATCCCTCTCCACTCTATTTAAAACCAAAAACAAATGCCTTTAGTTATACTTTAATGAAACATTCAATTTTCTAAGGCTAAATTCACATTGAGGCGGCTCTGTCAGCCACTTTTGTACAGATATGGCAGCCCATTCATTTGAATGGCTTGCTGAGATGCCTAAAAAACAGGGAAACGGTTCCTGCACCATTTTTGGAATTGCAGACCACACGGGAACTGCAATTGTAGTGCGATTACCAGTAAGGGAGTAATTCCCAGTGCACACGGCGTGTCATTAGCATTAATGGCACCTGCACACATCTCCTGTGTTTTCCTGTGTGGGTGGTTGCGGCTTCAGGAACAGGTGTGGACCCGCAGTGGGAACCACCCGCACAGATGTGAACCTAGCCTAACACAGGCAGTCGTAACTAGGGTTCCCCCATAGATTGCTAGGGATTTGTTGAGCTGTGATTGATTGACCTCCTATTTGATAGTCCTTCCATAGTTTTGGGACTAATGCCACTTGGCAAACCCAGCGGCATGAAATCATAATCATTTTAGCAATCTGCAAGGGTAACATTCTTAGAATGCAAGGGGCATTTTTCCCATGATTAATTGGTTTTATCAAGAGTTCCTGAGACATGAAAATTGTTTTAGTAGTTCTCTGAGGTAAAAATGTTGAGAAAGCTGCTCTAACAAGAGATTAATACAGAAAAGAAAGACTTGGTGGACATGACCTTTGTGGATTTGTCCCTCTAGTATGTATCCTTTAAAAGGAAAGTTCATTGATCAGTTAGGGGTCCTCTTACCATATCATTGGCATCCCTTAGAGTGCTGGATAAGCTTTCTGGCAGGTTCGGATAAACACCACCTTCTGCTAAAGCTGTAAGAAATTACAAGAACTGTAAATCCACAATCAAGATTAATATATTGTAAAACATTCTGTACTCAAAGATGGCAGGTTAACAATAATCATACAAACTTGAACATACTGTATATTTCATACAGCAGTTAAAAAGTTATCTGTATAATAGCCAGTCAAATTACACAGGACTGGTGTAAGGAGATCAGTTAAAGGATAAGACTTGCAAATTATATTGTTCTCCGAACATTGTGTAACCTAAACTGGAAAGATTTGTTCGGTAATGGACAAGCTTTCAGTGAGTCCTTAGTGGATAGAACTTCCACAGATTTGGAAGAAATAAAGAGAAGTAAAGCACAACCATGTTGTACTCTTTGACTGTGGAGGACAGCAGGTAATGAGGAAATATGACTGCCTCCATGCACAAACTACAACCTATAAACAGACAAATGTTTCAAATTTACACATATTGACAATATGAAAGATTGCGTTTAAAGGCAGAAAAGGGTCATGAAACAACAAAAAATTTGGGCACTATCAGAACACAATTTAGGGGCATTGATAAGCAAATCTTGACTTTCTAACCAAATATCAAGGCAGGCTTGTAACCACCTCCCACAACTCCCTATTGGTCACGAAGACTGCCCAACAAGGGGGTTGGGCCAACTTCAACTTGCCAGGAAAGCTAAAATGTACATATCAAAAGTGCACAGGTTTCAATATATCTAAACCTTAACTTGATGTCCTTCAGTTTGCTAAAGCACTGTGTATTAAAAACAAATTTTATCCCTTTTTTTACATCTCAGGGCTGCTGATCTCATCTGGCTTTTTTTCAAAGCTACACCCTGACATGCATGTGCATCAGCACCAACTGCACATTAGCGCTCTAAACCAGTTTACAGAAAGTGACAATAGTGAACCATGCCTATGCAACGTGTGTTGACACGGCCACTTGTAGTCTCCAACATGTTGCAAATGTGACAAGGTTATCAGGAGTAAAATTACAAGACTGTTGTCACCCCATAATACAAGGTGTCTGAAACAAAGACATTCCATAGCAGGATAATCAATTATTCTTTTAATGAAAATGACATTAAGTTGCATGTTTAACCTCCCTAGCAATATGATTATGTCTATATTTCTGTGCTGAAAGCGGTACATTTTTTTGCATGGAAATGTGTATTTTTTTTATTGTAGGCCTGTAATTTTTAGGAATAACTCACTGAAATATGTCCAGTGAGTTATCTAGTGTCTAGTAAACATCCCGGGTATGATAAAATTTGAAACACAAAATCATAAATTATAATTTATTAAATAATCATAAAAATAATAATATAATAATAATAAATTTAATTCAATAATATAATCAAACCAAAAACACTGAAATTTGAAATAGAGCACCAAGTTCGCACATCACTGAGCAAAGTCGCAAAATCGTTTTCAGTGTCTGATGATGAATTTCCCCACGAATCATTATCACTCAATTCTGCAAGTGGTTCTGATTTACTATCACTGTTCTCTAGCTGGTCTAAAACCGCTCTTGACCAAAAGGGACGCTTTTTGGACGCCAAGGACTTTTCTAAGTTTCCAGGCAGAAAGAACAGTCAAAATGCAGGCAGGGCACAGGACAAAGAAGTAGGGACAAAATGTATGTGAAATGGTTTGATACAGTAATGTTTTACTATGTCAAATTCATTTCTAAGAAAATGACAGTTTCAAAAAACTTTTAAATTTGACGCCGTTCCGGCCCCCGTATGTCCCGACGCTTGCAGAGACCGGAACAAGGAAGCTGGATGCCGCCATCGGCCGAAGGAGTTGGCCGGGGACGCTGCAGGGGATGCATCGCGGGAGCGAAGAACAAGGTAAGCGCTGCAGGGAATCCCTGAGCAATGCTGCATGGTAAGCCCGAGTGTAGCTCGGGGTTACCGCTTTTGGTACTGAAACTTTACCCCGAGCTACACTCGGGAATACCGCCAGGGAGGTTAAGAGATTTTATTGCTTGGGTTTATATATACTGTAAGAGGAATGCAAGTATTTGATAGGGCCCTCACTTCCTTTATGCTGTAATTTCACAATCCCTTTCCAGGTGGTTACCAAAGATGGTTACTTGGCAGCAAGTAACGGCAGCAGAAAATATTACTTACATGATTCATTTGTACTGTTTTATGTTTAGCATTCACATTGTCTGATTTAACTATTCTTAAAATCAATAAAAGTTAGATTACACATAAAAGTTTTTTATTTATAAAAGTACATTTATTACTAGTACGTTCTTGTATAGCAGGTCTGGACTCCAATAGTAATTTAAAGCTGAACTCCGATCAGCTTATAAAAAGGCACAAATGTTTTGCTGTAAATACCACAATGCGCCTCACACTCACTGTCCTACTTCAGCTGCTTCACAAAGCCATTTCTTTATAAAAAGCTGTGCTATTCCAGGTCTTCTATATTAATCCACCATCGAACTCTGTTATCAGTTGGTCTCAAAGTACTTAGTAAGGGCCAAGTCACACTAGCAACTTTGGAGGAGCGATTTCTAGCAGCTACAAATCTCTCTGCTTGTTTTCTCTTAAATATTGTAGCTGAAAAATTGCTACTGCTGTAGCTGGCTATAATGCTCACCTCTGCCGTGTCATGGCCATCAGTAGCAGCAATGGGTAACATGAGAGGATACTGACTCTTGCATTTCTGTCTCTTGCACAAAGTTAAAATGTTGAGAAATTATGCTAAATTGATTTTTTCATTGACTGAACCTCACTTTTCCTAGTAACAAAAATGCTAGGCAAGCGACTCTGTGCCTGTTACTAATTGCAGCAACAACAATATTGTCAGTCTGTCATGGGGCAATCAGACAACATGCCTCCTAATGTCAGTGATCTAAGTATGTCAATAGAAGAGTGTGAGCAGGAAACACCTGATAAATAGGACTGGGGGGGAGCGATCACATAATTGGAGGAATCTGTCTAACTTATGGTGATTGCTGAATTCAGGAGGCATGCTTGCCATTTGTAAAACTGGCAAAAATCTAACTTATGGTGATTGTTGAAATCAGGATTCAAGTTGGCCATTTGTAAAACAAATAAATAAAAACCTGCAACGCCAGGGGTTTCAATCACTCCCTACTTTATCCAAAACACCACAGTTAGATATAGTTTAAAGTGGACACACACACACGTTGTATCTGCAGTCTTCTCATTTCTGCAGCCATGCAAAGTCCAGAATTTATACAGCCTGTCTGAGATTTCAGAACGCAGGGTACAGAATCTAAAGTTACATGCTGCAGAGCTCAGTGAGGAGAGCGGATTGGAGGTAGGGGACCCCCCTCCCCTTCACACAGGACACAGAACAAAGCAGAGGCTGCCAATCACAGGCTCTGCACTGCAGCTACACGCCCCACCCTCCACCACCGTCGCCTTTTCACCTCTTGGTGTCAGGGAAACTTGTCAGAAGTGACACATACTGATAGCAGATGAATGAGGCAGCAGAAAGAATGACACTTAGTGTTCTGGATCGAGACAAGTACACATAACAGAAAAATATGCTTTACTGATATTTCATGTCAGAGCTTTACAACCACTTTACGAGTTAAGTGTAAGTGCACTTTGGGCCTTTCGACATCCAAAGCTGGACATACAATATATAATCTCAGCTTAATCTTCTTTAGGCTAGGTTCACACATGTTTGGTTGGTGTGGCTCACATTTGCATTGGCACAGCAGACTATTCATCTGAATGCGATACTGTACCTGCCTAAAAAAAATAAAAATAAAAAAACACAGGAAAAAGGTCCTTGCATCTATTTTTAAAAATTGCAGCAGCATGGAAATGGCATGGTGCTTTTGCACCATGCAGTTTCCCCCAACCAAAAAACATTCTGTGTTTTCAGATGCATGCGGGTACCATATTGAATAAATGACACCACCGCGTGTTTGCTAAAAAGCAGCGCATTTTTCCTGCGGGTGTGGGAATGCATTCGATTTACAAGCATTCCTGCACCCACATATACTGTATGTGATCCTAGCTTTAAACTTACCAAAACTATGTAATATGAGGATATGCCTAAACAACTCAGTGCATTTATGTCAAATCAGGTAGGACCCTAGATAGCGGACTGCAGATCTAAAGGAGATGCAATCAGATGGTATAGTGTATAGTCACCTGTATAGCCATTCTTTCCCCAGACATCAAACAGAAGAACTTACCTCGAGCAACAGCTATCTGTCCATAGCTATATACAATCTCCCCTTCTGAGATGGGTTTGTCTGTGGTATCAGATTCGGTTACAGTGACAGTCAAACTGCTCTCAACTGTGGAAGGTGCAGACACTGATGGAGAAGGTACTGGTGAGGGAGTCCTCTGTTTAGGCGACACTGGGAGAGATTTCTCTGATGAGGCAGCAGAGATCAAGCTTCTTGGTTCTTCTTCTACAGCCACAGTCATTACACTAAAGGAAATTAGTGTTTATGTTATTATAACGTTCCGTGCAAGTACATCCTAACATTTAACTTATCTTAATTGTCCCCGTATGGTCCGTTAACTATATCATTGAAAGCATTTGGTAGAACATTCTGATAATTGCAAAAATACCTGTAGACCTGTCAGAAATGTAGACTGTCCAGTGCTCACTTCCTCACTTTCTGTGTTACCTCAAATAGCCCTCTTATTTCTCATCTTGGACTAAAGAACAATGTTTGTACCCCTATGCCGTGGAAAGAATGACACTGGGAGGGATTCAGTAATATAGCAAAAGACAACTAGGCAGGGCTGACACCATTCAATTCACAAAATTGCTGTATTGTCAGCCCACAACAAGAAATTAGCAGTGCAGAACTTTTCTGACTCACAACATGTATTTTTCTGTACTTGCAGGGTCATTAAAGAGATAAAACATGGTGAAATGTGTATGTATTACTAATACATTAACAAGAAAACATTCCACAATAAGAGGCAGCGGGAGACATGCTTTTTTCAGACGTAATAATAATAATGCCCAGAAATTAGAACTGTGCGGACTTTTTATCTGGGAATGGATCATTTGGTATGAAAATTACATTTCTAAACCGTATTTTTTTTTTTTTTTGTCGTCCACAGTATTTTGGCGCTCTCAATATAGGCACCAAAACATTTACTTGAGTCTTCTGTACTGTGAAGACTGGAAAGGCTGTGTGTCTTGTACAGCTATGGAGTCATGTCAAAGTGTAGGGTCAACCAGCAGCATTATCACAGTGGAGGAAGGGGAGGGAGTAAAGCTGGATGTACAATGTTAGTTTTTTTCGTTCAGGTGGTTGGCTGAAAGAGAAAAAAAAAAACAACAACAATGGATTCCCCCATGCACACAAGTGAGGTGGATAAAGGAATCCTCCCTGCTGCAACACTGTATTCTGACAGCAGCGACTGTCCGCTGTTTAAATACACTTCCCAGCAGTGACAGCCGCTGATCGATGTAAGTTTTCCGGTGTGGCTGTTCAATAAAAGTCAATCTACAGTTAGACGTCTGTTAGGAGGACCACACACAGATCGAAATTTGCCTGAATTTTAGAGCTACCTTCTATACCCACCTTCACATACCAGGCATTTCTCTTCACTTCAGTGGTCTAACAAACTGAAAGGGAAGCATGTGCTGCTGGGGAAGGGAGAAGTTAATAGAAACCTGGGGCTTTGCCCTGTATGGGTAAAGCACAGGTTCACTTTAAGAAGCAAGTGAATTGTGCCGTTCAAGTGGATGCAGAGGGTGCGGTATGGTATTGTATGAGAGCTGGCCTTATTTTCATATATGCTATAGCCATAAAAATATGGATTAAAGGAGACAGCTGACGTCACTAAGCCAGTCCAGGCTAGGGAAAGATCCCAACTTCAAAGTCCAGATCCACCCCATTGTCTGGAGCGGCACTTGGCTCAGCCTCTCAGCGAGCCGCTGAGAGCTTGAGACAGCCGCTCACACCTCCATCACAGCCCAGTGTTCCAGTGAGCACTGGGGGGGAGGGAAGGGCAGAGCACAGCTCTCTGCTCAGAGTGGCTGTGAGAACTCAGCAATCAGCTGTCATGTGATCACTCAGTTCTCACCCTTAGAGCCAGCGGGGAACCGATGTTGCATCCTCCTAGATAAGTATAAATAGGGGGAAAAAAGTCCATGCTTTTCTTTTAATGTAATAATACAGATTATGCCTGGTGTTTAGAATTAATGGTAGGGGCTATAGGTGCAACACAAGTTTGGAGATTAGGAGTCATTATCAAAATCGGTTTTTCAAGGAATTCAAGTAAATAAATAAATGACTCTCATACAAGAGTGCATTGAAATAACAAGAACATTTAAAGTTGTTGTTGCAAATATTATCTGGTTGCAGAAATATTTGGTACCAACATTCATGAATTCAAAACAACTGTGCAATCACGCTAACTCCATGGTACCTTTATGTTCTCCCTTGGCCTACAGGTGTTACCTCCTATGGTGGAGTTACATCTAAACTGTAGTCCTGGCTGCCCCTAGATCCCCCGCTAGGTTTATACTCACCTATCCCTGATTCAGTGAGATATTGCTGACTAGACTGCACAGCTGCTTGTCAAAATCTTCCAAGCCAGGTCTGTGCATGCACTCGGCACTCCTGTTTATTTCTATAGACATTTCTGGAGTACAAGCTCATACACCGGAGTAACACCCCATCTCTGGTGTGTAGCCTCATCTGACATATCTCACTGAATTGGAGACAGATGAGTATAATGCTGGCAGAGGTATGATGGCAGAAAGAACTGCAATATATTGTAACTGCAATAAAAGGTACAGTTATGCAGGCCATAGATGGGTCGAAAATCGGCCGATTTTTCTTTTAAAAAAATGAAAAATCGGTCGTTCAAGCAGCCGACGTTACCAGCAATGGTAAAAAAAAAAAAAAAAAAAAAAAAAAAAAAAATCGGCCGATTTTTATCCCATCTACAGCCGGCAAAAAGTGTCCCTGCAGAGAGCTCCGCTATTTCTTTGACAGTTCCTTGACATTTATAGCGGTTGCAACAATGTATCTATTTGTATCCATTTTGGATACAGATGTTTTTATTTGAAAACAAATAGATACATTGTTGCAACCACTATAAATGTCAAAGAACTGTCAAAGAAATAGCGGAGCTCTCTGCAGGGACACTTTTTGCCGGGCTGGAATTCTTCTTCTTCTTCATCCTCTTCTTCATCTTCTTCATCCTCTTCTTCATCTTCTTCCTCCTCCTCTTCTTCATCCTCTTCTTCTTCTTCATCCTCTTCATCCTCCTCTTCTTCATCCTCTTCTTCTTCTTCATCCTCTTCTTCATCCTCTTCTTCTTCATCCTCTTCTTCATCCTCTTCTTCTTCTTCTTCATCCTTTTCTTCTTCCTCTTCTTCATCTTCTTCTTTATCCTCTTCTTCATCCTCTTCTTCTTCTTCATCCTCTTCTTCTTCTTCTTCATCCTCTTCTTCTTCTTCTTCATCCTCTTCTTCTTCTTCTTCATCCTCTTCTTCTTCTTCTTCATCCTCTTCTTCATCCTCTTCTTCATCCTCTTCTTCATCCTCTTCTTCATCCTCTTCTTCATCCTCTTCTTCATCCTCTTCTTCTTCTTCTTCATCCTTTTCTTCTTCATCCTTTTCTTCTTCCTCTTCCTCTTCTTCTTCTTCTTCATCCTCTTCTTCTTCCTCTTCTTCTTCATCCTGTTCTTCTTTTTCTTCTTCTTTTTGTCTTCCTCTTGCAGGTTACTGCTCATGCGCAGATTTTTTTATCGGTAAAATTTGCCCATCATTGCCAGCAAAATCGGCCGATTTTTTTCCCCAACTTTACCGATAAAAAAAATCTGCCAAAATACCGAAAAAAAACGGCCGACAATTAGCCCACTAACGATCCAAAAATCGGCCGATTTTATTTTCGGCTGAAAAATCGGCCAATTTTCGACCCATCTATGGCCTGCATTACACTTTCTTTCCACTATAAAGATGCATCACAGCTGTTTGTCCATAGCTGCAGTAATGACAATAGACAGCTCCTTCAGGCGTAGAAAGCAATGTAATGATCTAGGTATTTTGTGAAATATTTCTGCACACCAAAACAAAATAACAGGTTACACCGCTGGATAATAATAACATAAATTTTAAACGTAGCTGTGAGTGTAGATTTTAGAAGAAATTTAGACCTAGAGCCTGATAAGGTAATGTCCAGCAATTAACTGGACATGGATAAGTTCACCTTTGGAAACATGTTACATGTACCCGCTTCTGCAGCTTCCCCCCCAATAACTGACTATTTTAACTTTTATGCTGTGGTTTTCCGAATAAAGACAAGATTTTAGAGCTACGTTGGTTGTGCAGATCAAATTTTTGGATTATAGCCTCCCCTCAATCCCTTGCTAATTGTGACAGCAGACTGTGGATCTTCCTCCTGCACCTGCTGTCACAATTTGAAGAAAAAAAAAACGCAGTCTCCCAGGGCTCCACCCACACAGTTGCATCATTCATTCACAGAGTTCTGAGAATGAAGGAACTACAAGTACCGACAGCCTTTGCGGCTGACGGCTTGTAGTTCTCAATGAACTACCAGGGCACTAGTGAGCACTCTAGGTAATTCATTCCTGTCATTGTTTAACTGGCTGCCCATAGGAGGTACAAGCAGATAGATACACTGACAATCTGCAGGAGCCCTGCATTGCACCCATGATCTGCTGATTGCGGGAGCAATGCTTTACAGGCTCCTAAAATAAATAAATAACTGTGCATTTATTGTTTTTTTAGAAAGGTGAACTTATCCTTTAATGCCAGTGAAGTTTATACTTACGCTGCATCTTTAAACTCAACAGCTTCCATGACAGAGTGTGGGTTCTCCTCCTCCAATGGAAGCTCTGTTTCACCCCAAGGATTGGGAGGAGGACCCTGAACGACAGGTGGCTCTTCATTCTTTTCTGATAGGACAGGTGTGGGAGTGGCAACTTTGGGGGGTGAAGGTACTGGAGTTATCGTGGGTGTATCCACATGCACCGGAAGACTATTTTCTGCTACAAAGGAAGGATAAAGAAAATGAACAGAGTTTTTTTTTTTTGTTAAAGCAAACATACATATTAGATATATAATAATCATGTTTCAGAGATCTGATAATATCTTTTTGCATAATTTTGTGTGTGCATATGTACATGCCTATTGAAGAAGAGTATCCAAACTCCTCCAAGCCTCTCAAGTATTATTAACATGAAATATGGGCTTGGCTACCCATATGTGTTTAACCAATGCAGAGGAGTGGGGGACACCTCTCAGGGGCAGCCTATTAAGGGGAAACCATAAGGATCAGGCAATGTAATTATATCTAATCTGACTATAACCACTCTACAGGGGAAAAGCAAAGTCTACGGTACCTCATAGACAAGATTTTGTCGCCCAATCAAGCCAAAGAAGCACAGGGAAGAAATTCTATGGGTACCCTCATTCAGCAAATTATTATTTCT